GCGCCGCCCGCCCCCAGCCCTCCGGCCTCCCCCTCGGAGCGGGGCAGCGTGAGCCCGGACGGGCCTTCTGCTGCGCCAGCGCTGCCCCGCTCTGTTTGACAGCTGCCCCGAGCGCTCCTGAGCCGGGCCCTGGCCCTGTGCGTCTCCCGGGGGCCGCGGGAGGAGCTTGGGTGGCTTGGGAAAGAAGAGATCACACGCGGTGATCGCCTGACTGCATCTAAATAGGTTCTGGTGACGTTATAGGATCCCTGCTTCATGGGCTGAACAGAAACAAAAAGCAACTTGCAAGCCCTTCTAATGCAACCCCCCCTCCCGTCCCCCCAAGGAATGAATAGGTTAGTGTGTCTTAGGGCTGGGACAAGATCTGTTCCATCCCCAGTGACAGCTGGAATAAGAAAGTTGGGACAAGTTTTGTTTTGTTTCCCCCCTGAAACTCAACATTAGTGTTAAAGCTCTGTAAGCATGGCTAGGTTTTGAGTGTGAACTGCTAACCTGGGGTGGGTTTAGTTTTGCAGAACTTGTTGGTTAATTTTCGTTATTCCCTTGTAAACATTTTGAGACTTTCTTGTTAATTAGAAAGTCTTATTTAAACTGGTCAGTTAAAGGACCACTGTCCTGAAATGTATGTTCCTTTGGGGAAGCTAAACCTATTGGCATCTGTAGAGAATTATAAATAATTTGAGAATACCACATAGGATACAGCTTTTGCTAGGAAGATACATTTGGGGGCCTAACCATAGTTTGAGTGATGTGCTTTTGGTTTGGCTTGTTGCTGTTCTGCTCTGAAAACTGTGATCTATTCACTGTGCTTCTCTGATTTTTTTTTTCCATATCACACTTGCTCAGTTTTAAATGGGAAAGAGAGAGCCTCATATTTCTGGTGGTAATCCATGGGATGGAACCCAGACTGACTGTCAGAACCCAGCCTGAATTTGCAGACCTGTCAAACTGAGCAAACTTTACAGGAATCCCTCCAAGCTGTTTTTACAAAGTGTTCTTTAAGACAGAACCATGCTTTAAATGTAAAGAGAACCCAAATGACACTAACTGGAATTGAAGTTTTTATCACCTAAATATTTCTAAGGTCTCTTGACTCACAAGTAATGCTTGACATCAAGTGTCTCTCCAGTTGTACGTTTTCTGGGTTACTAGTGAGGAAGTGAGAGATCTAATTTCACTTACATGCTGAGAAGAAATCAAGATGGAGGACTTTACCACCACATCTTGCAAAACACTGACTAGCTAAACCAGTGATCTGGAGTGGAGATTCTCACAGGTACCTCCTACTCACACATGTATTTTGAGGATTCTCTGCTGCTTTTTTTTATAGAGAATTGTTATCAGTGTTATTTGTCATGATCCTCAATCAGACTTTTTCTTTTATTTGAGGATCATAACAAGCAGCAGATAATTCTGGCTGGGTGAGACAGTTTGAACATAAAACCCAAATGAAGTGGCAATTAAGATACTCTTAATTCTGGCACTGATGCACTTAATTCAGGAGCTGCCTTTTCAGTTCTCCTTGCCACCTTAATACCTACAGTTTGGTTCAGGGAGAGGCACTGAGTCTGAATCTCGCACATAGCAGAATTGTTTTAACTAGATTCTAATGAGAGAATGGTATAGTAAATTTCAAATCAATAAAGGCTACATTGAGAAAGACCTCAACTCTTCTGGAATATGCTACTCAGTTTCACTTTTGTTTCTACTGCTTCTCTCTCTTTCCTCACATTTATTTCCAGACTTCAACTTATGCACGCTTATTTTGGCCCCAACAGCCTTGTATTCATTAAACTTTTTGAAACTTTGCACTTTTAGGCTACATCTACACTGCAGAGTTTTTGCGCAAAAACGGCTGGTTTTGCACAAAAACTCGCAGAGTGTCCACACCTCAAGCGTGTTTTTGTGCAAGAAAATTTACAGTGAATTGATAGAACAGAAGGCTTTTTGCAGTATAGGTATTTCTCTTTCTACAAGGAATAACTCCTTTTTGAGCAAGAGATATTGTGCAAAAAGGTGTGTGTGAATGGTCAGCAGGGTTTTTTTGCACAAAAACAGCCTATTGAAACAAACACAGGTGCCCTGGTGGCCATTCTGTTAAAGGCAAACAGAGCTTTCTTGCGAGAGAGCGTCCATGAAATTGCTTTTCCTATGCACTTTTGCAGTGTGGACATGCTCTTGCACAAGACTTTTTGCGGAAGATCTCTTCCACAAAAAACTTTGTGCGCAAGAAGCCTGAGGTGTAGATGTAGAGTTAGAGAGAGGTAAGGAATTGGTTAGCTCTATATATACGAACTTGCAGAGGGACAGGACAATAGGGTTGAGGTCTGTTTTCTTTCTTTCTTTCTTTCTTTCTTTCTTTCTTTCTTTCTTTCTTTCTTTCTTTCTTTCTTTCTTTCTTTCTATTTCATATTTTAAATAAAAAAGTCCAATTTTTATTTTTTTTAAATAATTGATTTTTATCCACCCTGTTTATAGGCTAAACATTCTAAATCTACAACAGTAAACTGTTTAATACCCAAATAAAACTTTTCACTTGAATAGAGACAGTGTAATTAGCACTATTCTGCAGTGGGTTTATCTAGATTTTCATGTGACCTTTTGCACTATAGTATCTGAATGCCTAATTCTGCAAACGATTATCAATTCTGATTCCATCTCATAGAAGGATGGTTTAGATAAATCCTGCGTTTTGACAGAGAGTTACACCAGATAACCTTAGCAGTTCCTTCTAACACTAAGATTCACTGATTCGTAGTCAGTGTTATATATATCTGCAAATTGGTTCATTACATTTATTATTAGATTTTTGTGAACACAGCTCCCCACAAGCCTCTCAAGCTCTATATTTTGGCCCTAAACTACCTGATGGGGTTTCGTTAAGTATTGAAAAACGATTCAGCTACCCTTCTGAAACATTAAGTATTGGTTAGGGACTCAAAGGGTGCGTCTATACAGCAGGGCTTAACTTGAAATAAGCTACGCAAATTGAGACATGTCAATTGTGTAGCTTATTTTGAAATAGCTTACTTCGAAATTGGGAGCATCTACGCAGCACTTTTTTCGAAATAGAGCACTCTTCCTCCAACTTCCCTTACTCTTCGTACAGTGAGGGTTACAGGAGTCTGAGTAAGAAGTCCTCCAGCTTGACAGAAATTTCAACATTATTTTGATATAACTGCCTGCCGTGTAGACGCAGACTAAGTTATTTTGAGATAACACTAGTTATTTGAAATAATGTTGCTGTGTAGATGTACCTAAAATGGGCCACAACAAAAGGAAAACATGGAGATGTTAAAATCTATGGAATCACTTCCCTGGTGATATTGTTAGGTATGGACTTGATCTTGTCAATGTATGTTCAGGCTCTCCACCCATATTATACCTTTATCACCAGTTACCAGTCAAGATTAACACAGGGTTTTTACACAGGGTGGCTGGTAAAACAACAACTTTCTTTAACACAACACCAAATTAAGTGAAAAGACACCTTAAAGTTTGGAACAAAATACAAAATCTGGATGTCACAGTGAAACAGGCGTGAAACTGGAACCCAAAATACAAGTAACAAAAACCAGGGCAATACAAATAAGAGGGGATTATATCGCCATGTTCTCTGTGTTCAGAGACAAGGTACGCAGACGTCTTAGGAGAGGAGAAAGGGAACTCAAGGAAGTAGATCAGTGTCGAAGCTCAGGCAGGGGGAAGGTCTTCTCCTGTCTTTCTTTAAATCTTCTCTTCTTGACCTGCCATCCTGCATGTGATATGCAAACTGGGAAGTAAGTGATGGAAGAGAGAGAGAGAGAGAGTGTGTGTGTGTGTGTGTGTGTGTGTTTGTGTTTTGAGGGATCCATCTGCCTGGCCTTACTGCTGGTACCTTAACCGCTATAAGAAGTGGGGACCCAGGATTGCTCCACCACTGGAGACTGCACCAGACTCCCTCTTTGGCTGGAGATTTCCAGTCTGTCAGTGGTGAACAGAGACTAGTCTCCTGCCTCTGGCGGCCTATTGAACTGACAGCCTGCCCCGCTACAGGTGAGCTGTGGCTCCAGCACCACAGAGGTGCGCAGCAAGCCCTGAGGGGAGGGTGGACTGCCCTTATAAGGTCTCTTGTTGCCGCCAGGCAGATTAGGGTCAGGTGACCGCACTTTTCCCGCCTTTTCCAGGCACGGGATGGTGACAGGGAGGCTGACCACCCTTTCAGAGGGAAAATCAAAATGATGGACGAAACACTGGCACCCCTTCCCCAACAATATTTGCATACATTTTATGTGCTGCTCAATAAGGAAATAACAACACTTAAGTAACACCCCTTGTCCAGTCTCTCAGTGCATGCTACAGACAACTAATGCTCCTAAATTAGTTTGCCTTAACGATGTAAGGGCCTTTGACTTTCAAGTCAGAATGATGCTGAAAGACTGGGCTGCTTTTTTGTGTATTGTTTAGTTACCTTTCAGAGAGTTGCTGCATTTACAGAACCTCAGCAGCATGACCAGCCTCAACGGAGCCTTTTATGTGTCTTGCAGAAGAGGACTGTAAGAAGTACCTGCAGAGGAAAGAGCAGCCTGTGCAGGTGCCAGCAGTGGACAGCAGTATCCCAAAGACATTAGAGATGTCGGGCCTCACTACCAGAGATGATCCTTACGGTAAATAGTCATCGATTTATTGATTTAATAAGAGATATATTCTGCTAGGGTTTGCCTTCTGTGGAGTAAGCGCCTGTGAGAAATACTGAGATCCATTTACCTCCCTTCCTATGCATATACATGGCACCCTGAGTCTCTGACCAAGTCTGGGGGATAGGATTGAAACACTCTGAAAGGGAGGATGGGCAGTTGGGCAAATGTAAATGAGGATCAGAGTGTGGTAGTGCAATTAAATACATAGAACTCTATGCAGTTTTCTAGGTTTAAGGCTCCTGCTGTACGATGTTATGCCAGTACCTCTTTCTGGATCTAAATTTTCATTCATTTGGAAGGAAATGTGGTCAGTTGAGTGGAATCACAAAGCCCCATTTGCCAATTTAGGCCCTGAGCCAGGAGGGCCCTGAGCCAGGAGAAAGAGCCAAGCACTTTGAATCCTCTGGGGCTCTCCAAAGGCAAAAGAGTCTGCCTAAGGGGTTCTGATTTTAGTACAGCCAGTCCCCGAGTTACGCGGATCCAACTTAAGTCGGATCCGCAGTTACGAACGGGGCTTTTCTCGCCCCGGAGGACGGGAGCGGCGGGATGCCCAGATGAGCCACGGTCCCACCGCCCGCGTTCTCCGGGGCAAGAAAGGCTGCTCCCCGTCTCCCTGGTCTGCTGGGGGGGGGTGCAGCTAGTGCCCCCTCCCCCTCCAGCAGACCAGGCTTTTCTGCCCACGACGCCTGGGGTAGAGCAGCTGGGGCGTTGCTGGGTTGGTCCCGCAGCGCCGCTCCTTGGCGCTACTGGACTA